ATATCGCCACCTGTTGCTTTGGCATGTTCCTAGCAGCGTTTTCCTTCATTTCTGCCTTTACGTGTGGACGGGATTATTTTTTAAAACGGAAACGGAAAATCTCCGTTTTCAAAAATACCCGTGTGGACGTAGCCTGGCTGTAATACACACCATGTTTGGAAGTCAAACACCCCAAACCGAGAGTGAAGTTTGGAGGTGAGAACATCATGGTGTGGGGCCATTTTTCCAGCATACGGCACTCGCACACTTCATATATCTGAAGGAAGGATGAATGGAAAAATATACCGACATTCCTGATAAAAAAAAATCAACTGCCATCAGGCCCAGCCAATCACACGACCTGAATCCAATTTAAAAATCCATGGAAAGAACTAATGCTTATTGTATTGCTCTATATAAATCTTTGTTTTTTAACAAACACTTTGCATGTCAGCTGTCATCAGAATTGCAGACTGTAAAATATATAAGATGTTCAGAGCCAAAGTGTGTCAGGATAATGAAAGGATGAGCTTTAAAGGATAAACTTCACATTTGACTGCAATGATTCTTTGATTACAGGAGTTGCTCTCAGCACCACCCAGTGACAGACGAATCATCCAATAAGCCCACTCTTTATGCTAAATTCACTTATTTAACTTTGGAGCAAAATTATAGTAACTCAAAAATGACCTGATTAAAAAAGAACAAAGGCTAAACTGCCAGATTATTTACCGTTAGTGAAGGCTGCTGCTTACTGAGGAAGTTCATGAAAGAAAGTCAAAGGGGTTATATATCCATGTAATTGGTATCATATGTACCATTATCCTCTTTACCTTTAGGCGCATAAACAGTTACTCAGTTTGGGATTTAAGAAAATTGATGATGTCCGCTTTGCTCAGCTTCTGTACATATTAGGGCAACAACCTCTGTGATTACTATATGTTTAGATTTTAAATAATTTTCTACTGAACTAAACGTAGCACCATTGTGTAAAAGTTGAGAAACACTGTTTAAGTGCTGGGTTTGTCCTCCTTTTAGGCCTACGGTGGAGATCTGAAGATTTCCCTTTGAGGGAGCTGATGCTGAAGCCTGAGCTCTTCTTGATCCCTCTAATGAACCTCAGTCCTCCTGATGTTTCTGACATGATGTCTGCCTCAGTGGGTCAAACGAACATCTGGCACAGGACAGCTGTGTTGTAAGAATAGTAGGAAGTTTCTACAAATCACTGGACCCAAGAATCCAGACCCAGCGTGGCTCTGATAGTCTCCCTCACTTGTTTTTGGCTGAGTAAATGCAGCTGTTGATTTAAAAAACAAACTACTACTACTCTGGGTCATTTGTTAAATGAAAAGAAAAAAATATATATTTCAAGGAAACTTTCTGCTGATGTGTTTTTAAATGTAAGATCCAATTGAAAGTTTCCATGTTACCAGGCTGCAGAGTGCTCAGAGAGTGCAAGTCTCCAGTTCTCTTTATGTTAAAATCTCAAAAGACAACATTGAATCTTTAGATAATTACAGTAACACTGTGTTTCTGAGGTGTGTATGTAGCTGTCATTTCTCTTGTCTAAAGTCAGGGTAACAAATTACACTGACTAATAAGTCAAACATGTCGACTATGAGCAACACTGGTGTATAACAACAAGCTTCTAACAGTGTGTGTGCTAACTGCTAATCCAGCTAACACATTAGCAAGGATGAAGGAGGAGGATGTTAGATGTTGTATACAACTATAGTATGGTAAGATGTGTGCCTTTTTAATTAAACCAACATGGCTTTATTTGCCTTAATTTCCTGAGTTTTGAGGAGCAGTAAAACCACCAGCAGAGATGTTAAAACTGAACAACCCCGGCTACATAAAAAGCACATGGGATATGCTCACGTTTACATCCTGTGGGGCTGCAGACAGGAGATCAACAACTCCACTAAGAGTCACTACTGCACAGACTGACTCCTGAAGTACAAGATGGCAGCCCTCACAAGTGGGAAATTTTGGCTTCATTTTTGTACGATTGATGAAATGGAGCCACATCATCATGAATAGTCACACTTTTGAGTTCATGCATTTCGATGACATCATGTTACTTGGAAAAATAACTGCTGTGTATCTGCAGCAGACAGAATCACTTCAGTCTATTTCAGCAGAAAATTTCCACACTCTGCAGACACAATCTGTACTGCTGTTCAACAGACGTTGGTGTGAATAAACAGTAGTATAGCTTTTTTCATGAGACTATTTTGTGGGTTTACATCACTTCCTCTGAGCCTCCCTGCTAAAAGGAGACACATTAAAGTGGTCACTAAACGCCATTAAATGAACAGAGTAACAATATATATATATTTTTTAAACATACAATGAAAAATATTAACAGATAGTTTCTGGGCATACTCCTGGGTGGATACATAATAAGAGTCACACATGAACTAAATGCCACTATTTTACCTGACATTGTTTTGCAGGCACCACAGAGTCTGCCAATGACTGCACCGAATGAGTGTGGGAGGTACAATTTTATCTGGTTTATCATTACTGTAGCGCTGTCCAACTGGTATAATGTTAACTGAGTGGTGGAACAGACAGATCAGCATAAATGCTTATATATATCTCAGCACACAGCAGGACAGGCAACACATCAGAGAGTTTAGTTCCCACCTCCAGCATAAAAAGAAAATAAGATGACATTCCCTTTGCTAACATCTCCATACTTTGTTTAAACAAACTGTTAAAAGAAATGGAAAGCTATTAAGATTCATTAGGTTGTAACCCTTTTCTGAAATATAAGAATATATAAATATAAGTCCCCAGTGCATAGGTCTGGCAGAACCTTCATGATCCAGAAAGTGAAACAGTACCATCTCTGGTGTCCAAAGAATAACAACTGAGAATACACTTCCATACACCTGTGTTAACAGACCTCTCTGCACCAAATCATACTTGTTATTAATCTCTGTCTCTCTTCCACAGCATGTCTTTATCCTGTCTTCCTTCTCTCACCCCAACCGGTCACAGCAGATGGCCCCGCCCCTCCCTGAGCCTGGTTCTGTTGGAGGTTTCTTCCTGTTAAAAGGGAGTTTTTCCTTCCCACTGTCACCAAAGTGCTGCTCATAGGGGGTCATATGATTGTTGGGTTTTTCTCTGTATTACTGTAGGGTCTACCTTACAATATAAAGCACCTTGAGGCGACTGTAGTTGTGATTTGGTGCTTTATAAATAAAACTGAATTGAATTGAAATGTGAGCACAGGCTCTGCAAAATACTTTCATTGAGCAAAGTCTTTCTCCCTTTTTACACTGTGCTTGCCTACCGGCAACACAGTCCCTTCAAGGAGCATAAATCTCATCCCCAACCATGTGACTGCAGCCAACAATGACTTAGATTGAACACAAATAGACCAAAAATGATTGCCTGCGTAGGGAGGAACATTTCTTCTTAGTCATAGTTCATTCTTAGCTCTCAACACCCACAAATTTTAGCACCTAAATAAGGATGTTTTTTAAGCAATTTACAAATATGCATACAGATAAATACTAGGAGGAAATGAGGCTTACAATGCATTACTGATGTCTCCCATACTGAGTTTCAGAGACATGCTCACAGTCTATATATTACTCAAACTGGTGTAACAGCATTGACACCGATTGCATTCCAGTGTTACATGCACCAAGTGTTCATGTTATTCTGCTACCAAGGCTGACTTATCACCACTAAAAATAAATTATCTATTAGGCAAAGAGTCCAGAACACTCAAAGTTTTAGCCTAGAATGTTTAGATGTCCCAATTATAAACAGTATCCCGTCCTGCTGTTGTGCTTATTCTCTTTAGTTAACTAGTATCTCAAAAGAGCAGACTATAGCTCCCTGCAGGTCCAAGCAAAGTTTGTCCCTCTCACCCACCTGCTGCTCTCCCTTTGGGTACTTATCTATGGAGACTGAGTGGGCTGCCATCACGTTCACTGCAGATGCTGCAAACACTGGGGCATTATAGAGTGCAGGGACTGGTGGCCAACCTACACAGTACACACAGTTTCAGTTAGACTGCCTCAGGTGTTTGCACATAAGCTTCAAATGACAGAACTGTTCTGATTTCAGTATTAAACTATTATCAGTGTTACTGGCTTTGTTAATTAGGTTGGCATTGTTACGGTAAAATACAGAAGTATGGACATAATACTGTTCCCCTTTGTAACACCAAGATGAAAAATATATGCAAAATGTCAATATTAGAAGAGAAATGAAGAGGGGCTAATGATATAATCGAATGTTGTCTTCATATGTGCTAGTAGCGAAAGCACACTACGGGGTCTAACGTTACTCTTCTTTGCATATAGCTTATCCAGCTCACCTCTAAAAGCCAAGAAGAGGCTGGTATCATGAACCTAAGGGGTGTTGTACAAATAATAATGCTGATGTTATCTTAGCGTGTCTTGCAATTGATGTTAACACACCCACCACGGTTTAGCCTTTAGCTCGTGTTAGCTTTGGCAACCGTGGCGGCAAGGGGACATTAAAGTGAAATAAATCCTTTGGGCTAATATTAGCCTACTCTCCTATAACCCGACTAACGTTACTCGTAAACAAAGCAGCCCGACTGGAAAAACGGTCGTTTTCGTACAGCTAACAATTATCCAGTAACGTAAACGACACATTTGCGCTAGTTCACGAAGCCAACCTAGGCTTCAGTCAAATAAGCAACCATATGGCCGAGCTAACGTCTTCGACGTAGCTAAGTATTAACTTCAAAGTGTATTCGTGCTGGTAGTGCAACCAAAACGCAAAGCGCCATATTTAGCGAAGGTAATCGCGGCCAAAAAACAAGCTAGCTAACCAATCTAGCCAGGTACAGAAAAAGACCCTCCTGCGGATTGATACGAAGTAAGCCATTTTACCAAATAATAAGACCGCGTCGGTCGGTTAACAGTATGCATTTTAAATTAAATTATATTTCTTGTCAGCTATATGAAATAATTGGGCAGCATAGAAATTATTAAGTATTGGATTGCTAGCCCGGTTGATCCTAAATTCCTCCCCTTTTCAGTCAATCAATCAAGCGGGGACAGCTGCCCTCTACTTCCCCTCCCCTACGTGGTAAAGTGTTGGGCCTCGTTTCTAGCGCTCGCCCTTTGCTTTTCCACAATCCTCCTCAGCCCCCAAAACGCCGACATATTTTTTAACCCCCCCTCCCATGTATACAGTTTTTTTTATCCTTCACAGAGCTCTGCCGCTTCTGTTTCCTCTAAAAAACATCCTCTGCTGCCCTGACTAAGTCCGCGCTCCTCGCCCCGGGACATTTTTGCGTGCGGCCCAGATTGTTTGATTGATAGGGAACGGAAAAAGAGGGACTTTGAGTGACAGCTTACCTGAGTGCCAATCTTCGTCACACTGACAAGCGGCTGCAGCAATCGGGACCCGCAGTTGTCGCGTTACGTCATCGCGCAAGGGCACGCAGGGGCGCAGGACTCATGATTATGTATTAGGTGGGCGGAGACATGACGTTCTGCTGCCTGCGAGTCCTGCGCCCTGCTGTTTTTTTGTCTTAGCTAAAGCGATTCACTTCCCTCGCTTTATACTTCGTTCCTTTATATACACACGTTTTAATCATCAACATACTAATGCGTGAAACACAACAGACTGCTGAGTGCTTATTCCTAAACGAATGCGTATGGATAATTTGAACATTATGTGCATGCAGGCATGCTAAAGGAGTCAAAATTGTAATCATTAAAATAGAACCACAGATAAACCACTTGCACACTCAGCTGTATTCAAATGATGCCCCTAAGGCAGAAAAGCACGATAAAAGAACTGTTTGATCTTTCCCATTTCTTTATACACCAATTGCTTTATACAAGACAAAACAACCAAGTCAGGCAAAAAAACAGACCTCAATTCTTATGTGTGGACTTTAATGATTTACTTTAAAAACAACAGAAGTAGGGGGACAATGAAAAAAGAGACACTGCCATCACTGTCATCTTTAAGCCATAACTTATGGTCATATCAGCTCTTTTTAGTGCCTGGGTGAAGGCTTGCCAGAGGAGGGCTGAGGGAGACGAAACTTGGCCATCTGCATATCCAGGTCTGCAAATGTGTAGGGGTTGTAGCTGTGGTGCTCGTAGTTTTTGTAAGTGCTGTTATCAAACAGTTCTTCTGGCTCCGAAGGCACGGCCGCAGCTTCTGCAGTAAGGAGGGGGAGGGAAAGAAAGATGTAAGAAAACTGGTAGAAGGGTGAGCTTTACAAAATGTCTTGTATGGGAACAGAAATAAAACCAGGTCAGTTAATGCAGTACTAGGTTTAGTCCTGTGTTCCTGTTACTGATTTTAAAGTAGTAACTGCTGCTTGAAGGGCTTCGTCACACCACATTTGATAATTTCTAAAAAGGAGAACAAAGATGCGGTTTTGTATGAGTTTTTTGAGGGGACTGCACATTTCCACATTACTCATGCTAACACAAGGAGGTTTGTGGCCACATTTTACAGTGGCAGCAACCCCCAATGGAGTATGGAGACACTAGCATAAGGAGCATCAAGGATCATGTTTGTGACTGGAAAAAGGATGTCAAGATAAAAACATGTTTCCAGAGAGTAAAACAGCCCATCATAGAGGAAGAGTGATACTGCAGAGGTAAGAAAAGAAATGGACACCCGCACAGCGCTATGTTACTCTTAAACACAGATACAACAGAGAGGGATTTCCTGTAAATCTGCCAGCATGCTGCAACAGTAAAGTTGTTTTCTTTTTTTTAATGAAAACACATTAAAAACTTTTTTCCACCTACACTTAACGAATACGATTCCAGATAAACCAAAAGCTAAGATTTCAAAAAGTGAAATAAACAAGTGGTGCAATTAATGACCAAGGTGAGGAGTGGGGAAGGAAGGTTACTTCAGGAAGCAGGAATACAGTCTTGGGATTTGTGGGACACTTCCAACTTCAAACACATCTAACAGCTGTGTAGTTGGATCATCTGAAACCCCGTGAAGATACTGCAGCAACAGCCTCGATGTAGGATTTGCACTCTTCTTCTTTTTAGGGACTCAGTTTTTAAAAAAGGGCCTGCAATCCTGATTCCTGGAGTACTCCCACCAACGCCAGCCACTCCCAGCTTCTCCTCGTCCAGCTGCTGTTAGGGAAGAGCAGTATATTCATCTACACTACAATAATGAGCCACTGATGCACCTGGGACAATGATCTGTAACCTCAACATTACCTCGGGCACCTGTAACTCACATTCCATACACACAAAGATAAGGGTGCAAATGAGCCCATGTGAACAGACGTTAACATGAGAAAATAGCAGTCAACTACTCTGTGAGGGAAAACTGTTAGCAGTCCCAGGACAAGAACAATCAAACTGTGAAAGAGTTCAGTTGGTCACAAAGTCAAAGGGAAGACTGCACAAGCAGGTTTAGTGTAGCAGTATGCAAGAAGTAATTTCATCTGATGACAAACCTTTAATCACATACACCTTTGCCCTTGATCGTCCACAACAATTAACTTTAGTTTGAGTATACAAGTCAAGTAAATCCTCCAACAGTAGCATAACACAGAGTATGGATGAAAAGAGCCCAAAAGCTCTACAAGCATCGACCCACAGCGTGTACAGTAGAAAGCACAACTAGAGAAGAACTACTTATTCCAATTTAAAATGATTTTATCATGATTAACAGGAACAGTTAAAAGATTCCACCTCGTGATATACACTACCGGTCAACAGTTTCAGAACATCCCAATTTTCATTGGAAATTATGCAGTTCAATGTCTCATTGCACTCTGAAATGAAAGAATGGTACAAATGAGCAATTTGAGTTAAAAAACAAATCATAGAATCAATTTACAGAGTAAAATGTATTCTAAACTTTTGACTCAAAGTAGCCACCTTTGGCAGATATAACAGCAGCACACACCCGTGGCATTCTCTCTACAATAGAAATCAAATATTCTTCACAAAGTTCTTCCAATATCTGTTGCAGAAGTTCCCATAAATGTCGCACCTGTAGGTTGCTTTGCTTCCACTCTTCTCTCCAGTTCATCCCAAACCAGCTCGTTGGGTTTTGGGGCTTACTACGACTACTATTAAGCTGTTGTCCCGTGAGCCGCCATCACACAAGCTGTTAACTCTCAGAAACTTGTCCTCTGATTCAGTTGTGTCTTTGGGTCTGCAGACCTCTTCCTGTCACAGTTTGATTCTGAGCCTTTGGATGGTGAAAGAAACTACTCACTGACGCCTGGACTTTCTTTGCAGTTTCTCTGTAGAAGAAATTTTTAAGTGTTATGATGGTCCATCTCTCTTCCATTCTTAACTGCCTGTTTCTCGCTATTTTTGTAGCAACACTCTACTTTCAGCAGTACAATACGGTTCAACTGATGCTCACAGGGTATGGTACCAGAGTGTTCCAACACTGCTTTTATGCAGGCAGAGGGGGTAAGTAATCCAGAAAGGTTGGAACACCTGTAGGAATTAGTAGCAGCAGCTTTCAAGGCTTGATCAACCTCCTTTGCTGCAGAACAGCTTTAAATTGTTAACCTATGTTGTGTTCCCTGAAAAAGGCCTTTGTGTATAATTCTGATATGTACATTATTTTACAGTTTTGGGTAACTTTTTTTTTGTAAACCTCTGGCAGTTCACCACTACATTTTCAAGCTGTTCATTGGACCTGAATGACTTGAACTGCAACAAACAACTGGAAGTACTGTGGTGCTCTAAAACTTTTGACCGGCAGTGTATATTAAAAAAAGAAAAAAGAAGTGTTCCACATTAGAGT